AAACTTCGTTCCGTCTCATGCTGATACTTATGGTCAACCAGTGAACAGCGTATATCTGGGTGAGTGCTATGCCGCCACATGATCGAACGCTATTTCAGGAAGAGAAGAAAATTCTGCGCAGCTGCAAAATGGTATAAAATGCAATTATGAATACCACATTATAAGAAGCATATTTACAAGACAAATACAAGAAGAAGAAGCCATATAGTACTTGAAATGATAGTACACATTTGAAATGTATGATGCTAACCATATTGGTCTAAACATAGAAAATATGATGCTTTCGATGAAGATATAGCCTTGTTCAAACATTAGTGTTGTTGTGTTTTTAGTCAGAGCAACCAGACTTTGGGTGAGCAACAAATATGAACAAAGAGTGTGCTTTAGCTTTAATAAAGGCCCAGGTAGTTAACATAAAGTAGAGTATAATAGCGCTTAAATAAAAAGATTATTGTGAGGTGCATAAGTGACATTTAAGTGAGGATGGAATTCAAAGACCTGGAGGATTAGAACCCGTAGGACAGCTGAACTGTAAGATGTCTCACGGATTTCTGTAGGTCCCAACGGGTAGCATCTTGACAAGAAGCTGAACAGGTTTTTAGATGGTAGGAGCAAAAGTACTTTTTATTTATAATTTAGATCTGTACAACCCTTATTATTATTTCTTGTTGAGTGTCCAGACTAATGTTTAATTCTCAAGCTGTCGAAAATGCATGTTGCTGTCATACAGATCGAAGCGATTCACAATTGTGACCACTACCACATCTGCTGATCAGTAGGCGCCACCCTCCCTCCTTTTTTGATGTTAAGCTCTGAGATTTTTTTGTAAACTGTAGTCGCAGTATTGCATTGCTTTCAGCACGTCCCGATCACACATTATGCTGTACATTAATAGCTTTCATGACAAGCGCTTCCCATTAGGTCACCAGATACATCGATACCTGAGGACATTCTTAGCGGTATCACCTTTATACATGCATGCATGTATACAAGCATTTGTAACAAACGCCTAGGAAATTGCGTTTACTTCAAGTATAAAGTATAGAAGTAGCTAGTATTACATCAAGTAAGTTGTAGTCTATTTAGCAGAGTAAAAGGTGTTGTGGAACAATTAGTGATAAAATTAATTATAATGATCCTGAAGGAAACAGCAGGTTAACAGAGCTAGTTATGCTAAATTTTCATGACCGATTTTCATACCGTGCGCATTAGATATTGCAAAGTAACCCTTCAACTTATATAATGTTAAAAATACTGCGAAATATTATAAAGATTAAACGTTTTAGAAAAGTATATGAGAAATGGTGGTTATTGGCTGAGTAAAGTCATTTGGACACAAAAAATAGCATTGTATTATTCTGTACATACATTTGTAAAATATCAAAAGGTGTGGTTGCTAATATAATTGTTTCTATATTAGCATAACTTATCGAAGACTATACAGAAAGGAAAATCAGTAAATTAGTTAAACGTTCGCTGCGTAAGTAGTAGAGTCGAGTTATATGTAACTGACTGAGCTGAAGACTGGACCGGCTTTCACTGTGGTCTTTTAGACAAGCCAGGGTGGACATGTTAATGTGTCTCTCTAGGCTCCGTTCGAACCCATTGGGGTTTTCACAACATCTAATTTCAGATGGTAGTTGGTTCCAAAGAGTGCAATATTTAATGGTGAAAAAGTTTGCCCTAATGGATTTTCTGTGGGTAGCCACCTTGACAAGGTAGTTGTGGTTTCGCAGCTGATATGATTTAATATTTTCCCACGTTATGGATGAGTTACAATAACAATGTTTCCTAATGACTTTGAATAGTAGAAATAAGTTGCACTTCACTCTCCTTAACCACAGAGGTTCTAAATTCAGACGCATACACCTGTCAACATATTCCACTGGTTGGTCAAACCCTATTATGCGTTTCGTCAGGAATCTCTGAACACTTTCGATTTTTTTTCGGTCTGCAGACCTTAGGTTACTATACAGGAGAGCACAATATTCAAGTTTGGGGCGGATACACGTTCTATATATAGCTAATCTTGCTTCTTGGGTGTAGAAGTTACGCAGCACAAAGCCAATAAGTCGTTTACAGTCGGATACGACCTTATTTGCATGATCAGAAAAGGTTAGATCTGAGTATGTTATCCCGAGATCTATGACTGTGTTCAGTTTCGAGAGGAGCTTACTGTACATATATAGACACATCGGTTTCCAGCGTCCAAGGTGGGCTATACTGCACTTGTCTGTGTTGAAAGTCAATTGCCACTTTTCGCTCCAATCGTCTAGATTGTTTAAGTCATGTTGGATTTTGCTTTCGACGCTCATATCATCGTACCCGTAATCATATACTATCTTGAGATCATCTGCAAAGAGGTATGGCTTACCATACTTGATCACAGAGACTATGTCATTTATAAATAAGAGGAATAGAATAGGGCCAAGAACGCTACCCTTTATTACACCACTAGTTATCGGCTTTGATGAAGACAGCTGGTGGTTGATTTTGACTAATTGCTCTCTTTCCGTGAGAAAAGAATTTATCCATTTGAGAAGTTTCCCGGTTATTCCGTAGGATTGGAGTTTTGTTCTGAGTCTGATATGTGGGACTTTATCGAAAGCCTTGCTAACGTCGAGAAATAATGTTGTTACCAAATGCCCATTATCAATGCATTGTGTAATGTAGTCAAAATAATCTAAGTGGCAAGTAATACACGACCTTCTACTTAAGAAACCGTATTGGGATGGGGATAGTAGGTCATTTGACAGCAAGTACTGAGTGATTTGAGTCTTTATTATCATTTCGATTACACGTGAAACTACAGACGTGATGTTGATGGAGCGGTAGTTGTTGTTGGTTTGTGGGAACAACATCATAACTAGTCATTCAATGGAGCACATCAGGAAATATAGAAATATTGTCTTCGCACTAACAAAAATACCCAAGTATGTTTTGGATGGATTACAAATACTTAGGAAAGAAATAAAGCTTGAAGTAATTCCTCATATAACTTTGGTGTGATAATCTGTGCTAATTCATAACTGTACTGTGTAACAATTAGTAGTGCGTGTAAAAATGGCATGCATTTCATGTAAGCTTACCCGTTTATACGAAATGTATATTATCATTATTATCGTTGAAAATTTCGTGAGTCCACTCGCATCCCATCTTCTTTCACATATTCCCAGTGCTTGAATACTATATCTTTTCATCTCTTCTGCAATTCGGTGTCTTTGCCAGTCTCATACATAATGCGGACGTTCCATATTCCCACATCTACTTTTCTTTCGTCGCTAGGCGACTCATCGTACTGGAGCTTTTGTAGCCGATCTGTTTACAGTGTGTGGTTGCCAGCTTCACATCCGAGGAAAAAGTTGTTACATATATAATTTACAAAGGAGCGACTTTTGTGTTGCTCTTTTAAGAGTCAGGAGAGTAAGAAATAAAGCAATCCGAAAAATGACAACAAAAATATCACAACAGGAAAGGCATTGAAAACAACAACAAAAAACGTAGTGGCAATATTACTGTTAAATACAATTACCAAAACTGATTTGAAAAACATAGACTCACTGATTCGGGTCAGCTCGGGCATGTAAATCCAATAATATACAGTTATGGATATTGTTTATTGTTAAATAGCTACAGCGTTCGTGGCACAGCGGTTATGACTCGCCAACCGTGCGAATGGTCCGGGGGTTCGATCCCCTGCCGATGCACAATTGATATCTATGTTCGGCCTGCATAATTTGGGCCACCGACATCACATGCTGAAAATTCCATACCTGTTCCAAAAAATACGGTGTGGAATCAATCTTTAATCAAAAATTAAAAAATTAGGAATGCCAAACAGTTAGTCATAAGTATTAACAGTCATTAAAATTATATCCACAGTTTCAGTGTTTGAAGGAAAAAGAATTACAATAATTTCTGAAGGTTCCTGGCCAGAAACACCAGAGAAAGAGTTTTATGTAACCGTGTAAGTGTAGCGCACTAATCAAAAGGCGAGGCTAGGTCAGCGTTAATAGACATACTATAAGTCCACGGGATCTTGAGTTTATATTAAATAACCGATGCATTTTATCCCTGTAAGTGTGCACTTACTCCTGAACTATTACTGCAGGGGCACAAAACAGGGGCCGTCACACCAAGATTCACGGTTACGACAGCCTCTTAGAGAACGCCCAGAGTAAGGTGACGAGAGTCAAAATCAAGTCAAAACACAGGCAGCGTAGTGGTAAAATACGGGGACTAGAACTGTATATTCTAAGCTACTTCAGAATTAAGGGTGATCTTATTTGTGACTTATGGAAAGCCGAATGGCGCAAAACAAGCTTATAGGGACTAAATTACTGTTGGACACTATGGTATTCCTTGAGGAAATGTAAGAGCACTACTTACTAGGGAACAGCTACACTAATGTGGTTCACATTATATTCTGGAATTCACTTTTGGTTGACGTGCTTATCTCTTTGTCAGATGGTAAAATCAAGAGGGACCTGTGTGATTACGATAATTCGAAAAGTCTGCGCAAGGATAACTAAGGAGAAGTCTAGCCTTGTGGGACGTCAGTAACGCTATAGATACTCCTTTTTTCTTATTCTTTCTTCATAATTTTTTGTTTTCATCGTTTCCTACAGCTCTGTTATATGTTGACCCATTTTGTTTGCTAATCCCCTCACTTACACTCATATTCTATTTAGACATACTAGAAACCTGAAGCCCAGGCAGTGGCAGTGTTCTAGAACAATGTATGCATACCAGAATAAACGGATATCCAACCCTTCACTTCCTTTCATGGATCAACAGAAGTAGAGGAAACAGTCCTGCTGTAAGGAAATTCACTAAAAGATCTAGGACCGTTACACATAACCAGTAAACGGGCATCAAGGAATCGACGTACTTGTTCAAGGTAGTTATAAAAACACAGCGAATATTGGACATTGGCTCTGAGGTTATGGGTATTGACAATTCGTGAGTGACCTTACAAGCTGAGCAACAATTATGAAGTTATGCTCCGTTTTGTGGATTATGTTGTTCTTGTTGGATATGACTTTGAAAAATCAGGTAAAACTTATGAACTACTATTTTTGGTATATAATATAAGAATTAGGGACCAAGTGTCTCTCAACCAAATTTTTTTTCATGAACTATGTGTGCTGTAACCTGGGGATTAATACAGTATACATATATATATATGTATATATAAATATGTATATGTATAGCTAATGTAATCACCAGTATTTTTTGTTTGGAAATTACTTCACGAGAAGAAGCTTAGACTGGTACTAGAACTGTGCCGCGCCATCTCAGTAAGAAGAGGAAATTCGGCGAGTGTTTCAGACAAAAGTTTAAACCATTTTAGCTGTTGATATTGCTGCTCAGGTAGTAGCTGGATTCAACATACTATGTAGTTCATTTGTTTTCAAATTCAGTGGCAAAATAATGTACAAATCAACAGCCAGAATTTATAATACGCTTGCCTAAAGTATCATTTCTCTTAGTATCAGGTGCTGACAAGGATTGACTAGACACCCTTATTTTCTGGGTCTGGATTGAACTGGTTAGATTTCTGATTATTCGTATGGTTAACTAAAAATTCCAGAAATGTAGACGTTTAAATGTCAAATTTTGAATGTCATTTACATTGGTAGGGTTGTACTGTCAGGATAGCTGCCAAAAGCTGTCTTAGTGCTAGTTCCTTAAATCTACTTAATCAGTGGCCCAAGAGACTTAAAAGGAGTTTTAAAGTTTCTGTTGCTCAGCTTAAAAACCCATTGGTTAGTCTTATTTTTTATCGTTTATTTTCTAATTATTATTATTATAGCTTGACTCCACACAGTATTTTCGATACAGGTATGGAGTTTTCAGCATTTGATATCGGTAACCCGAATTCGGCAGGCCGACCATGGATATCAGGTGTGCGTCGGCCGGGGATCGAACCCCGGATTATGTGAATGGTCGGTGAGCGTCCTAACCGCTGTGCCATCGACGCGCTTTATAATAATGATTTACAATGGAACTATTACTTATTTTGTCAAACTAATTATATACGCATCAAACTTGGGCATATTTTGGGATTTTCATTTGGATATTTACACCTTAAAATTCAATTCTTGCCTGTTTTCGACAATTAATTTCCTTTATTTGGATTCATGTACTTATGGAAGTTGATCGTAAATCACTTTACTCTCAAGGTTTTAAGTATTCAAATTACCCCCGGCTGGGCAAATATCATTTCCTTATATAGCATTAGTTTACAGTTGACTATTGTTCTTCAGGTTACGCATTACTCACGACTTAATACAACACTTTCAGGGGAACAATAGGCAACCATGCTTACATAACCATCGTAGAAATTAGCATAGAAGCACCTCACTTCAAGTCCTTACACTTTGAAGAACCATACAAAATAAGGCTTTCACGGTGTACTGGTAATATTTTAGGTTATAGGATTTCAGTGTATCTTTTGCGCAATAGCATACTTCATCTCTTTGTGAACTCGTATCCATCCCACTTGACGAGGTTGACACATTAAGTAGTTCGTTTGCCACCATTTAATTAAGTAATTTAGAGCATATGCAAAATATCCAATACTCCGTTGAATATCGGATGTCAAACATTGATGAACTTTGTTCCACTGTGTGGTTGTGCATAAAGACTGTTAAATATAACACATTCGTAAAGTTTGAATACAGTTGTCCTTGTACCATTGTTGACGTTTGATGAAACAACTATGCCTTCTGTGTAGCTGGGATAGGTAGGACTGTTGATGAAGCTATATACCAATATCTCTTGATTTTATCCTCATTTACGTTACAATTGCTGCTGTTGTGATTTATGTTAGTAGATGTAGGACTAAGTTTGAGAGATTTTTCTCTTAAGATGTTAACTAATAATTCCCAATTATCCTCTGTGCACTATTGAAGAACATTGTAAGGATTTTATTGTTTCATTTAAAGAACAATTGTCACTTTCCCTAAGTAATTTCTTCGGTTACCTTTAAAGCGATATCGGCTTCGTGTGTATCATTTATACAGCATTTCTTGTTTACCGTATGCACTTTGTGTTCATGTTTACATAAAGATTAATATTTTCTGGCTATAGCATTAATCCACACGTTTTTATCCTATGTGGTTTCGTTAACTATAACCTAAGAAATGGAGATTCTACTTTGTATAACCACTTGTAATTTGACATTGTTTTGCATTTGCTTTAGCTTGTGATAAGTGCTATGCATTTTTTTCTTTATTTCTTCAGTTGGTGGTGAAAGCGAAGGACGTATTTTACAAAGATTTCCTTCAAAATGTTGGGACGATTATCCTTACAACTTCAAAATCGAGACAGTAAATAGTTTCTTTTCCTTTTGATAATCAATATTCTTATAAATTTAGTTCTGTCAACCTTGTGGCTGGTATCTTAGTCGGAGCAAACCAGCACCAACATTCTTTGTTGCTTACTTGACAGATATTGCTGGAAATCCATATTTCGCTGCCTGTCTTACTTTTCACGAGGCTGTATCACCTAGTCAACTACTAAAATTTAAAAATCCTTATAATACTATTCATAGCAGAGTAAGAGCTTCAGGGAATGAGTTGAATCGTTATCCTCATAATGGACCTATAGATGGGTCATTTGTAAATAAAAAAGGCTTTCTTATTTCTAATTTTGCTTGTCAATCTGAAAATTATCCCTTAACTTCTCGTATCAGCGTAACCAGTTTGGATAGCAATACTAGTTCACCGTTAAGTTCAGCGATCGGTGTACACGATCAGTCGATAAACCATTCTGGTCTCAGGTCGATATATGATGCAGGTGATCCAAATCTAGTACGTCCACCGGAATTTTATGCACCAAAGTGTTTGGTTTTCCTTGCTCGTCATCAACACTTTGATGTGTTGAAGGTAAGTTTCTTTTTATGTATAGAAATAACTGAGTATTCAAAATTATAATAAGTCATTTTTATGTACATTCATTCATATTGTATTGTCATCTCACTTACATTAGTCGCATTTCCTTAATCATTTATCGTCTGTCTTTTTGTTTAGCATTATTATGACTTTCGACGACATCACTTATGTTCCGTTGTCTTTTTCTTCTAATGGAATTTAACTCGTCTCAATCTGTATTCACTACATTATGTGGAACTAATTCATCTGTATTACTCTGTTTATATTGTAGTAAAGCGAAATGAATCCAGTGTTACACAAGGTTGTTCATGCTTGCAATTCAGAGATGGTTATTGTTTAACCACTCGTATTGTTAGTAGCCGGTTGCTATGTGGCAAGTTGTACTTATTTATCGATTAAATCTGAACTCACACCTACCTCTCATAGTTGGGACTTACTCTAAGTAGGTGTAACATCGTTGTTGTTGAAATTGTTTTAAAATATAAAAGCTGGATTACTCTAGTAAAATAGTACAATTGTCCTTCAGAATATCAAGATTAACATCATTAAGTGTAGCAGTCAAGAAGTGAGGCAGTAAGGGAACTTTGATCTCTAACCACTAACCCTAGTAAGAGCAGAAGACTATTATCATAGTATGCCTGAATGAGTGCAGACGGAAAGCATACATGTGAAGGTGACTGGTAAGTTATTCAAAACATCTCTGAGGTTCTGTATGTTGGTCTGTAAACAGAGCATACATCTATAGCGATGCTTTTTGATGCTATGTGTATATCTGAGCTGTCGTTTAGTGCGTAAATGTTTGTGGGTGGTAAGGTGTAAGAAACATATAGTGTCAGATGTACCTCTAAGTGCAAAGTTTTGCGATAGCTAATATTCAGCAATGTGAGATGACACTAAAAGATGTAACCGTTAAACACTGGTAAACGGCTGCACAAAACTAAGCTTTTAAACAAAAGGAATACAGTTCACTTATAGAAATAACAAATAAAGTACAATGAAAATTATGTAAATATTTGAATAAACTTTATGACAGCATCAGTGTCCAAGTTTGTGAGACTAAATGGAATCCTGGATATCTTCACTAAGAACACTGTATCATCGTTCATTTGATAATTATCAACAGTCATATTCAGGTTGAGGGTTCTGTGCCAACTAACTTCTAACGTCTAATACCGTTTTTCACTTTAAAATAAGAAATATCTTATCAGTTAAACGTGATTATGCATCCTCATGTTAGACATTATTTATCTGGATATCCCTCATATGGAACTAAAGTTTGCAAATGTAGGCTTTTGATTTAGTGTCTATTCAACGAAACACTTACATTAGTATTATGACATCTGTTTAGGGTAGATTTTTCCCCCTCTCCACCTTATTTTATTGAGTAATTAATCTGTCTGTATCTGTTTGGTGTTAATTTTCCTAATTTAGAATAGTCTGAGCTTATTGTACACTGTCTTCGCCGATTCATTACGTCAGTACTCTGTTGAACAAATGATTGCGACAGTACTTGGCGGTGTAGAAGTTCCACCAACAGGTTCGTTATATGGTCGATATTTTCTATTTTTGTTTATGGAATGTGTTTGAAATAACTAACTACAAGTCTCTTAAGTAGTTTGCTGTTAAATAGGAGTATAGTTGTACAATGTGTACTGGTAAACAGGTTCTTCTTCTTCTTGGTTTCCTATTATTTCTCTTGAAGCCTTTCTGAATCATCATTTTATGAGTACGCCTACTTTATATATATATATATATATATATATATATAATATATATATATGTAATTCTATGCATTGGTTTTTAAAATAATTGCATACCGTTTCGTAAAGTCAAGAAATTAAATTGAACGGGAAGGTTGATAATCTCAATCAATTGTGGAGGAGTTTTAAAATGAGTTATGCATATCGAGCCAAAACTATCCTTTAATATAACACCAGTTCATAAAGTCTGTGGCTTTCGGTATGCAACATTAATGGAGGTGTTAGTTCTCTGGCGAAAATTTAGCAATCAGTTGTCGAAGACTTGTCTTCCTAGCTAGAAATTGCTCACATTTACTCACTCTGTTATCGACAAAATGCAGGAGTTGCACACTGGTTCGTTAGAAATAAACAGCGTAGATAAAAGCTAAATTTTTAGGCGAACTTCATCGGGTATTATTTAATTGATTGGTTCTCTAATGGAATCTTGAGTACGTCAATGGATCAGGGGTAGAATGTTCGCCAGCTACGCATATAGTTCGGATTGCTGTTCCTGGTCGACTCAGCCAAACCTCACCTAGTTGTAAGTAGGTTTCTTGTATTAAAAGCGACAGCAACGCTATGTAGACCTCAAAGCTTGAAGCTCTGTGTTTCACTTGGGGAACTCAGAGGGGGGCGGAGAGGAAACCCCTCGAACAAATGAATGAACTATGTGTAATCATGAATAAGTATTTAACTAACTATTTATAAACTTTCTAATGAATTAAGTTTTCTACATCACTCGATTGTTTGTATATTTTTAAGTTTTATGTATAGCGGTCAGTATTGCTTAGTAGGAAATTGAATAACTTTTTATTAAGTACCTTAATAGTATGATTTCAATTATATAATGAAACTTGTGTCTATGCTATTATTATTATTATTATCAGTTTGTCTGAACTCTCACTTCCGTTTTTGCAGATATATGCGCTCTAGTGTTTGTCAACTATTTGCATAGTTTTATGTTATTCATAAATATAAGGGTGTATGTATGAAAAAAAAGGCTTAACCAATTGTTACAGATCTCCAATTTGTCCAGTAAATCACACTTTCGGTTACATAAAGTTTATTCTTTGATTAGAAGTCCCTTTCATCCTTCAACTTTTGTTGTTGTTTTTTTTGTTTTTTTTTATGTAAAGGCAACTGTCTGGTGTACATTAAGTATAGTGAAGTGTTATTTGTTGAAGCCTAGTTACTAAAGACAGATTTGTAATTTATTAGATGGTTGGAGGCAATCGGCCACAGGAAGCCTTGAACCTAGATTTCGTGCTAGTTGGCACTCATCAACAAGGCTTATTCGCAACCTTGGACGAACTCGTGTCCCTTCTGAGATTCGAACCCGCGTCACGTAGTGCTGCAGTCAGAGACGCTATCACTGAGCTATTCGTAACGACGAGCCATCTAGCATAGTGGCCACATCGCAAACAGAAGTGGTTGAATGATTTTCTTTTGTGTGTGTAGTCCCAGTTTTTTTTTCTGTCTGAATGTCTAAGACTTCATCAATACAAAGGAGATGAAAGCGTATTGCCTTTAGTAGGTTATTCTTCACTTTGTAGATTATTTTGAAGGAGACGTTTGTTGAGATGGAATGACCAGTGTTGACAAGGTTTTTCGATTATCTCACACCACTACTATCTTTCTGCAACCCTACTGTTGGATAGTGTTGTTGAACCTTTTTAGGCAGGATATGCATCGAACAACCAATATACCTGGCTCTACAGCAACAGGTGAACTGATATTTGCACATAGAAAAGTGGTCAGATGCGAGATCTCGTCCTTAAGGCTTCCGCATACGAATGGACGATTGGAATTACAATATGATTATTCATCACATTTTTTGAAATATTTTGATGACGTAAAGAATAACCCTGACTAATTTTTATTCTTCTCTGACAAACCTAATGTACACACACACATACAAAAATGTTTAAATGTATATATATTTCGATAAAGAAAGGAAGACGAAATTCGCAGTATAAAATGATATCATTCTATTTCACAGGTTCTCATCAGATGCAGACTACCTGAAATTACAATGGTTATATAAGTGACAATAACATACTTTAATGTTTGAGTGGTACTAGAGAAGAGATAAAGTTGACGCATCCAAAAATGCAAGCATCACAATTTTTAGTTTAAGTTCTCATCAACAATTTATACGCTTTCAAAGTAGAAAAGAGGGGAAAGGGGTAAAACAAGGGAGTGAGAGGTTAATCACACTCTCTTTCTGTATACATAAGTCTGGTTGGTGTGAATCGTTTGATTGTTATCGCTTCGGCAAATAGTAGTAAATTTGCTGTCCTTTGTCTATTTAGTATTTCGAAGGACTTAGAAATCTCTACTAGATGTTCGGTATCAACAATATGTCTGGTAATTGCACTCTGAGAATATTTGCTTCATTTCAGGCATAGGTTTCTTGGAATATGTTCAGAAAACCGGATAGAAGCCCTTCTTTCTGTCCTTCCAATGTACTTGCTCCCGCAAGTGCACGTAAATTCATAAACGCAGTTGGAGGTGACATCAGCAGGGTATTTATCCAGTTTTGAGTGGATTATAGAAGGAGTGGTGCTGTATACTGTTATGAATTTTGCTGCCGGGAAGCTTCTATTTATTGCTCCTTTCAGTCTTCTGTCTATCTTTTGTGACACTGCATCTCCTTTGAATGGGAGACAAATAAACACTTTTTTTATTTTCTACAGTTGGATGCTTTTCCTTCTTATCTTACACACACACATACAAAAATGATTGTATATATATGTGTATATATATATATATATAATTTCAATTGTACAGTTAAGTGAACTGAGCTACGTGTGTTTTGTCTTTCATTAAATGAGATGATCTCAACTTTCTCCGGGAGCTATCTTATTTTCTTTTTTCTTTTCTTTGTTGTTAACAGGTGGTCCACGTGTTACTTTCAGTTTAGGCACTGGTGATCGTCAGATAATTCAACCGGCTCATTGTAGTACTATACCTGTTACGCGTAACTGTGTAGCTTCGTTGTTCAAACATTTAGGTAAAATTACTTGTCCAGACACAAGCGTTTTACTGTGCTTTTTACTCTCATTTCATCACTGGTGTCTTTATGTTGTTTTGTAAAATATCGTTTTTATTATTATTACTTAAATTACCGAGTCAGTGCTGTATATATTTTCCAGCCAGCCATCACAGGTACCAGTTAAGTGTGTGTATACATAGATAGATAGCTTGGTGGAAGCACAACTGTTTATCGGCTTGAAGCATTACAGACAAGAGATTCGCGCTTCAGTTGAATGGAATAAAGATAAAAGTAAATGCCGGAAACGGGGTGTGTGTGTGTGATTAAAATGCAATCAAATGTGACGATAACATTTCTAGTATAATGTGATAGCCAACCAACTATTGGTTTCCTATTTGTATTTTGTTGCGAAAACTGAATATATATAAATCTCCCTCGATTCCGCCTGTGTTTTTTCATATTTTTTCATATTTTATATTATTGGCGCTCGAATCATAAGCATATAAGAGCGCAAATCACTAAGTAGTTTCTGACCAAAGCGCATCGCTGTTGGTTATACGGGTTGATGCTCAAAACAATTTCAACAATCAACAAGCTGTTATTGTGAATACAATTGAGGTAGAATGAATTTAGGCTTTCTAAATTTCCAAAATAAGTAAACATAATGGGTATTTGATGAGTGCTACTTATCCTGACGAAATTCACTATGTTGCTGTACGCTATTATATTAGAATTTCGTCAGTGACTGACTGACTGACTAACTGGTTTCAACGTAGAACTTTGCAAAGATGTGCAGCAGTTCGAGTTGCCACACTCCTTCCGTGTAGCACACAAAGCAAGAGAAGAGAGAGAGAGATAATAAACAGAAGAGTGAGTAAGGGAAAAAAGAATAGTACTCTGGAGGAAAAATAGAGTTTTATTCGATATGACAAATCACAAAGAGTGAATGCATGTGCTCCATTGACAAAGATGCTGAGCCATATCACCAATTGTCTCCAGCCATTGATTTTTAGAAACCTGAGGACGCCAACCACTAAGGCTGTCTACACCTCCTTATGCGACGGCTGGCTTAAACTAATTATTATGGGTTTGATTGACTGATCCCATGTTTTGGTTTGACCACAACTAGCTGTTTTCCAACCTGAACCAATGTCAGCTAACATTGCCCATCGAAGAAGGCGGTGGTGAGGCATTCGTCAGTGTGTGCCACATGATTGAAGTCTACTATTTACACTTCGGTTAATTATATTTAGACTTTACTGTTAAAGTCTTTTGATTTTCAAGTATTGGTTATACAACCAGTCATAGTGCCCAAGTTTTATACTTATATCAACAACCAGTCAGGTTTGTTCATTTAACTTACGGCTTAAATTCCTGAGGTTTTGTGAATATCATATTCCGTGTATTTTGTCTAATAAACGTTGTCACAGTTGTTGTTGTTGTTCTTGTCGGTCATCGCCATTATTCCCAGTCTGACTTTTGTATCGATCTCATTATACGGTGTGTGTGTGTGGATATTTCCAGGTGATCTGTTGGTTATAGCGTTGTATCTGGAGGCGTGTTATGGTCAAGTTAGATGACCCCGTAAATCAGTAACACTTCGGCAAAAGAGATTTTTTAAAGCGTTTTCCTTATAACGTGTGTTTTTGTCTTCCTGAAACTTTATCTGAAGCTGTATGTTTTCATCCTGTATTATTTCCGATCGATAGCTGCTACCTTGCTTATAGCAATAACTGAACTAGCCACAATGGCTGGAACTGATATTCCTGCGGGTCCTACTGCACCAGAGAGGTTGCCTAGAGAGTGGCTGGACTAAAAGCAATTACCATCATAGTTGAAGTCGTTTTCATTATGTCTATGGTGTAAAGGCGAAGTTGTGCTGACGGCGAATAGGGATGAAACAGCAGTTTACCACTGACGACCAGCAAACCAGTTATGCTGCCTCTCCGCTCTGGAGAGGCGGATGGGACTAAACAAAGTCAACCACGAAAATAATACATCCCGACTTATCTTGCCGCGATTCGTAGCCGACGGTAAGACAGAGCTCCAATAACCAACTCAAACAGTCTCTGTGTATGTGACTGGTCTCAAGTGGTTTTCCCCTGGGCACTGTGGTCATACAACACTAATAATCCTTCTATTTCAGGTATTCTCAGAAGAAACCAACTTCCAAGGTGTAGACAACCGGGGAGTGATAATCTCGCACACAATTCCATAAGCACGCAAAGCTTTCCTAATCGTTATTCCACTCAGTCAATCATTCTAAATAATAATATTGTGTTTCAAAATTTAATGAATTACAGGGAAAATAATCAGGGTTGTGATTAGATGATAGAGAATCGAATACGTCAATGATTTTGCGGTTCTCATAAATCATAATATGCATCCTTCTGGTATTTTCGTCTGCCAGTTAGCCGTAATCGGAGTCTCTGATTTTAATGTCAGCTATGGTATTGTATCTGGGACAATAATTATGTAAAGTTATCAAATACTACTACTACTACTACTACTACTACTATCATTCGTGTGATTGACCACTGGTGGAAAATGTCTCTTGTGTGTGTGTGCATATGTAGTGCATGTAGCCCCTCCTAGCAGTTCCTTCATTTCTCAGAATGAAACCTTTCATCATCAAGGTGAATTACGTAACTGTTAAGTCTTTTGGTTTTAGAATGTTTGTAAATTTTATGTGAATTGAAAGGCAAATATTATTTTCATAATCATGAACAATTTCACTGCATCAATAGAACTCCGTTTAAATATGAAGTTCGTATCTCTCCGTGTTAGTAGTTCACTAGCGGAATGCCCGCTAACCATGCAAGTTGTCTGGGATTCAATTCCCGGTTGATGTCCTCTTAAATGTTGTTTGGTTTACCACGTGATAGAAAGTCTGGAAAAGGCGTAAGGTTGGGTGTGTGAGGCTAGCGAACTCCACTCTGTGAAACAACTCCACGACTACTGGAACTTTTCAAGATTTCAAGCCTGAATGCGTCCGTATGTTCCATTCGGAACTCAAAGGAATGAAAAAGAGAAATTCTGAGTTATATTTGGTTGCTTTTTTCTTCTTCTGTACATCTTGTCTAGTGCTTGATATTCACTGGTTTTTCTTTCTTCTCTTGTTTTTTTATTTATCTATCACTCCAGGAATACATAATGTGATTTTACTCTTCACTGCAGTTCTAAGTGATCAAAAAGTTCTTGTCTGTTCACGCAGTTTAAACCGGCTGACAGAGGCATGTCATGCGTTAACATCTATCCTGTATCCCTTAAAATATGGGTGAGTTACAATTACCTTGATAATAGATAATACTTTCAAGTGTTGATTTGCAGGGATTTGATCTCGATTGCGGGATGATTGATCACTAACTGACATCATTTGGAGAACCACTGGAAAATCTGAGCGAACTGGACAGTTGTTTTGTCCTACTTTGGGGCTCCTCAAGAGTGTGCACCCGCATACAGTGTTCGAACCCAGGACCTTCCAGTTACACAACAAACTGAATTGTCTGAGAGCTCACCTCGTAACTGAAAGGCTCTTGGTTCGAACCCTGGCGGTGGGTGCATACTGTTGAAGAGTCCGAAGCACTAGGACGAAACACCTGTCCGGATACTTCCAGATATTATTTTACGTAGTGATATAAAGCTTTTTACGGGTCACTGGTTCACAATGGTGACAGTTCACGCCTCACGCGTGATCCAGGCTAGACTCCTGATCGACACACTCCTAAAGCTCACTAAGCTGGTAGCGAACATGGTCAAGAGGGAAGGTTTGGGCAGGCATGAGGCTGGCTACTCGACCCCTTAAAAACTAAATACCGCTACTGCTGAAACTTCAAAGTTCATGCTTGAAGTCCTGTGTTCTACTGGAAATGCAAAGGGAGAAAATAATATTATAATAATTATATTCAAAGTATCGATTTTGTACAGCTTTCTATATGTAAATTGTGAATTGACTTCTAATAAATATTACAATTTCAGTTAATTATGATTATTTCAGTTAATAATAATAATAACAATAATGATAGTAATAGTAATGTAAATAGAGGTATTTAATCACTACACACATCACAGCTAAATACTTATAGAATTGTTACAATGTCGAATAATAAATCAGATGAATGTAGTACAGCTAGCTACATCGTTATCGATCTGTTTAGAAGCTCTCTAGGGTTTTAACATTACATTAAAACTATCAGTATAACAGTTTTTCTAAAAATTTGAACTTGGAATATTTTATCTGACAATATAAATTGTCTTTCTAGGTCGGTTACTCATATTTTGTGATGATTTGAGTTCCAGATACTGTCGCACTTAAGATATAGTTGAGTATGTTCTTCTAATCAGACCTCTTTTAATATATTTATATGTTGATGATCTATGGCCGGGGGGGGGGGCTAATAAGTCCTGGGTTGCGCTAGGAGGATGATCCTGATCAGTCACTTCTGAATTACTCTCCTGATCCTCTACCATAAGTGGGATACGAGACCCATTCGTGGTAATACGGTTGTCGTTTCACTGGAATCCTCGAAGATTTCTTATTTTTTCTTTTTACGAAGCCGTCAAAAAATTGAGTGGTACATACATTGTGATAAAACTAATTGTATTATACGAACAGTTGTATAACTTGATTCATCATTAATGTGTGGTTAGGCCTCCAGTACTTGGAGACACATTGTCTGTTGCAACGCTGTTGCAAACATCCCATGGAATTGAACAGTTATTGGCTAGACAGGTAGTTTAGGTTTCCTGTCATTTCTGAATGTATTTATTAAAACAAAAAACTTGGGCACCAGGAGAAGCGCCACACAAAATCTTAAAATCCCTGCAAGGGTTGACATAATACCTGGATGCCCATATGGAAGCAGGTGGTGGTTGTCTTAAGGAGTCACTCCTCCCCCGAGCCTTTGACGTGAAGTGTGATCCGTTCATTATTCAGTGGAGCAGCGCTAGGAGAGACTTCCGCATGGATCTCGGTAACCAAAACAAGTGCATACCTCATTCGATTCGTTTGGATTCTGGAGCCCATAGGTTTGGAGTCAGAGTTTTCCAGCTCCTCTAGGTAGACGTCAATGCTAACCAGTTCAGCTATAAGTGCTGAACGTTCTCATTGCCCTTTCTCTTTCGTCAGGAACACCTGCGCTGTGGTGTGAAGGCAGTGAATAGAACTTATTCCATAGAGTCTATGAATACGTAATTACAATAGAGGATTTTGAGTGGAAGATCAAAGAGGATCGTTTTTTATAGGGGAAGATTTTCTGTTTTATTTGATGTGTGTATATATATATTTTTTTTAAGAATCTGCTATCATATTTAACAATAAGGTGATGTTTTCTTTCTATCCACCTATATAATAGGCATACATATGTTCCTATACTTCCTAAATCGTTAATTGAATTTGTCAATGCACCAACTCCATTCCTCTATGGTATTCATTCATCTTATCAACATTTACTGCCTGATATGGTAAGTAATAATCATAGAGTATTTATAGTGTTACTTCTTTCTTATATATCTCCTTTGTATATTTCATTTGTGACAATACATATTGAAGCTTAAATTGAGCCTGAAGGCATGTTATTTTAAAGGTGTCGTTGTGTTATGACTTTCTATATAAAGTTTTTGAATTAGAATGTCTACCTTACTGAGCTATCTGCAGTTATTGTGTGTGTATGGCATGATTTTAGTAAATTTATATTCATTTTTATACTTTTCTGTCTGTCTCTGTCTGGATTCAACATAGAACTTGGCACCGAAGTGCAGCAGTTCGAGTTGCCACGTTCCAAATAGCACACAAAGGTAGACAAGAAGATGAGTGAAGAGAATCAATAGAGTTTTGACAAGTATAAGAATGAAACAGAATGAGTAATGGTAGAAAGGAATATGAAAGACTACAGAGACTAAATACATCTGCGTAAGCCATTGACAACGATTTTGAGCCATGTCACCTATTGTCTCCAACCATTGATTCTTAGAGACCCGAGGACGGGCCCCAACCCGGAAGTCTGCATCTCCCTACCTGACTCAGTTTAACTGTCAAGGATTTCATGGATTGATTGATGCCATGTTTTCGTTTGGCCACCACTTACTCTTTTCCAACCTGCACCTATATCAGCTAGTAATGTCCGTCGAGGGAGGCGATGGTTAGGCATGCACAGCACGTGACCTAGCCATCTCAATCTATGTAACTTTATAGCCTCTTCGATTGATTTTCCCTCTTTGCCCAACACTACGCCTAACGTCAACATTGCTTACCTTATTATACCACCTAACATGAGAAAGAGATCGTGGACATCTATGATCAAAACAGTCAACGTTTTCATGTCTTCAACTCGTATTGGCCATGTTTCAGAGCCATAGTGAAGGACGGAGCGAACTGCTGAGCAGTACACACGTCCCTTGGTTGATAGCCGGATGTCACGCCTACACCAGAGATGGTGTAAATTAGCGAAAGCCACTCGAGCTTTTTGGATCCGTGCTGAGATTTCGTCACCAATCAATCCGTTGGTGCTGATACAACTTCCCAAATAGGTGAAGTGGTCAACATGTTCTATCACTTAATTCCATATCGCTAAGCTAGGCGCTGATGTATTTAAGTCCTGTAGCAGCACCTTACATTTTACAGGGGCGAATCGCATGCCAAACATACGAAGATTGCTGCTCAAGGTGTTCAGAAGACTCTGTATTTTGTCAGCATCCTCCCCTAACAGGACTATGTCATCTGCATATTCTAAATCCATAAGACTATTCCCTGGTAACAAGTCGATTCCTAAGTCGTTAAGTTCAGTTAAGGATACCTTTTAGGATACTTTTAGACTAAATAGAGTGTTGAATAATTGATCGACTGTGTATTTTAATCTTTGTAGTAATATACACACACTTTACCAATTTCAATTCGTATCAAACCAATGCTTTTGATAAATATGATGATATAACTGACTGCTGAGTTTTCAGAAGTACAGCAGTTCATGTAGAAAAAACGAGAAAAATCCCAAAGAATTATAATGTGAACAGTAAAAAAAGAAAGCGTAACTGTATGAAGAGGCCTAAACAAATATGAAATCCTGTGAAGTGTGGATGCTTATTATTCATCTGTCCTAGTGGTTGATTGGTTAATGAGTTCGCCTTGTAACCTGAAGGTCCGGGATGCCTACCGTGTCCTCCTTTATGTTTGTGAGACACAGCCATTGAAAGTAGAAGAAATGAAAAGCCTAACTACCTATGATGATAACAGATGTTTGCGTTCTATCTGCCGCGTTGTATAGTATACAGTAATAAGCAATATCAAAGTAAGGCATATAGTGCTAAGTAATGAGGGGAAGTCAGTCAACGAAGTTGTGAAGTTACATCGATTGAAATGGCTAGGACACGTGTTGTGCATGTTGAGCCACAGCCTGCCTGGATGGGCAATGTTGGAGGATTTCTAACTGATGTCAGCTCATGATGAAATCCTCCAACCAATCAAACAAAATCCCTACGAAAACCAATACTTGGAAATTGATCTGATCCTCGCTAGCGGCTGGCCCTATTCTGGCAGTTAACCTGCGGTTCTAGTGGGAGGCCGTGACCAGTGGGGTACAGCAGGTTGTAGATGAGGCAGTAACTCATCGAAGAAGACATTGCGAAGTGGTCGCACTATGTCGTGAATTGGCAGAAGTTGGAATTCATGGGTTGGCCATTGTATTGGGTCCCAGTGGCTTAGTGGTCTACGAGCTCGCTGGCCTTGTAAGCAGAAGGTCCCGGGTTCGAACTTCCTGTGCGTACTGTGAAGAGTCCCAGACTAGGACGAAACAGCTTTCCAGTACTCCCATCTGATTTTGCAATGGTTCTCTAATCGACGTCAGCTCATGATGAAATCCTCCAATTTATAATTTCCACAAATTCGTGCTGTGATACGTTTACTCTAATGGCTTGTACCTTAATACTCTGTAATACATCAATATTGTGTTTGTAACTATTCATGAGCAGTGTGAGTATCACTCACTGAAAGAGAACCATTAATGGATGATATTCAGCTGCTATTTGCCTAACTGATTTACCTAATATGTGAACAATTTTCAGACAGAAGAGATTTTGTATAATCTCTTGAAGTGAAGTGTTTCGTAAATGATTAACATTCATAGGATTACTAGTTGATGATTGACTTATACAACGTAAAAGTCTGGACACTTCACATTATCACATGTCCAAAGAGAGCACATAAAGTTTAGGGAAGACATACATACTGATTAGATGAAGCTTGACGATTTTTAGAAGTTTAAGGATGGTAACCACGAGTGAATACGTATGTATCTGTACTATGGGCTTTTTGAATACTTAAAAATGAAATTGTTAAGTATCCAGGGACGAACCAACCAAGAACCTATTGCCAGACAAATGTACCGAGGGAAGTGTTGGTGCATTGGACATTTGCTGAAGAGACTACTAAGTGACATCACGTGCCAGGCCCTAAAGTGCTGATCCGAGGGTGACATGGAGGAGATCGTGTGAGGAAAAGATGAAAGCTTACGTACTAGTTAATGAGGGCTGCAGAGAACAGTGTGAAATTAAGATGTTGCTGCTGAAGCCCTACGTTCCACTTGGAGCCCAAAAGAATTATATATATATATACATATATATGTATATAATTTATTTTATTCCTTTACCTTCCGAGTGGAACCATGATAAAACGACATAGAAAATGTGAGAGGAAGACTAAAGCGGCACCATCCAAGAACATGTACCAATGAAGACTTCAATGTAAAGTTTCTGTGCTTTGTCTTAGCTGTAGACCATTTTAGCAAATAAAAATTTTCCTCTAGCAAATCTATTATTATTATTTTATTGTTCCCTTGGGTTCCGGGTGGAACGTAGGGCTTCAACAACACATCCCGTCCTCTTCATCTTGGTCCACGGTTGCCCAAACTCCCTCATCTCTTCCTCACACGATTTCCTCCATGTTACCCTCACACCGATAACCCACTCGTCGCTTCCCAATTGGATTCCATTTGAGCAATTGCCTGGCGTGCGATGTCATTCGATGGTCTCCTTAATGTATGCCTAATCTACACTTTCTCTCCTACAAATTTGTTGAACAATTGGGCTCTTGGTTGGTTTATTCCCATAGTTTCTTGTTACTGATTCTTTCTCACGATTTGGTCTTCAGTATAGAACCAGCGAAGGCAGCTGTTGGTGAAAGTCTGCAACCTGTTAGAAATCCTTTCCGTTACACGCTGGCCAAGTTTCTGACCCGTATAGAAGGACCTACTTGACATTGGTATTGAAAATGCAAATCTTTTTCCCTATGTTGAGTGTATAAGATTTCCACACTGGTTTCAGGTTGATAAAGGCGTATATTGCTTTCCCTATTCTGGTTGGCTTTGACATCTTCATACTTTCCGCCTGTAGTTGAAACGATGCTTCCCAGATAAGTGAAGCTAGGAAGTAACCTCTGTTAGACCTCTCCCTTTCGATGGTGATTGGTGCTGGTTGTTGTTGATGTTGGTTGGTTATCTTCATCACCTCCGTTTTCTCTATTTTCACCTGGAGTTCTGTCTTCGCTACCGGCCTCTGCAATCAGTTGTTGGCTTTCGCCTGTAAATCTTCGAGTTTGTGTGACATCGGACGTATATCATATGCGAAATCCAGATGTTCTAGAGTCTTCTTATCGGTGGTCCAGAGTACTCCTGTTTTCTCATCCCCGCCATTCACCGTCTGACACATAATCCAGTACACCACACTTAGGAACATCATTGGTGATAATAGGCAGGCAGCCTTGTCTCACTCCTGTATTCACTTCGAACGCCCGGTTGAGTGTTTCGTTGTAGATCGCCTGACACATGGCATTGTCACATAGCGACGTTGGCAAATCTTACTGTGTTCTTTACAAACTGGGGAATTCGATTTATAGCATGATCAGTTGGGACAAGTAGCTAGCTAGCTAGAAATCGATTGGTCTGAACTAATTCGGCCTTCTCTCTCCGGACTGAATCAGACCGGGCACAGCTCTGATGAGCTCGACGTTAAACGAGGGAAATGGCCGACCAATGTTTTGACCACCTCAATGTAACTGGCTAGCAAGCACTGCTGGTTGATTATGAGTGGTGATATACAACTACTTATCTCAAGCAATCAGTAGTATATAGTTTTATACTGTGTTCTGAGATCCGCTGACTGAAAGTCAATTGCTACATCACCACCATGGCCATAGTTCCTTAAATTTTCTCTTTTAATGATTGTCTTGGATGCGTGAATGAGATATGTAGACTGCAAAACTGCACTTCTAGTCTTACATATATTATAAACTACAGGAGGTAGAGATAGAGAGAGAGAGAGAGTTGTATCGATTAGAGTAATGCGATATTTATGCAACTTGGCAATTGTAATGCGCAGTAAACTCTGATAATTAATTCTGTTTCATGAACTATTTGTTTGTTTTTTATTTTGGTTTACGACCTATTTTTTATTATCTGATTGATACAGAAATATGCATTTTTATGTTTATATAACCCTCTTATTCAGTTATAAATGTCGAAACCAGTTGCAGATGTAATAGCTTGAATAAATCTGATTATTGGGGGTGGGTGGGTGTAGGTTATTCATTATTATTATTATTATTAGGAGAATTTGTATTTCCCTGTTGTATGAAATGCAAGACGATGTTGTTGGTTGTGCTTTTTGACTGACTTCTGGCTACTTTTAAAGCTAGCAGCTATTTCAACGTAATGTCGAACCAGGATTTATGATAACTTATATATATGTACATATCTTGGGTCCCGAATGGAACATAGAGTTTCAACAGCTCATCTTGTTCTCTGCAGTCCCCTCCACGAGTGACCATCACCTGTCATCTCCTCCTCACATGATATCATCCATGTCACGCTCGGATCCATGCCCAACTCGTTGTTTCCTAATCGGGTTCCACTGGAGGTTATGCCCACCGCACGATTTTACCCGACTGCCTTCTCAGTGTGTCCAATTCATCTGCATTTCCTTCTGCATATTTGTTAAGCAACAGGTTCTTGATTGGTTCGTTCTTAGAGTTTGTTGTTGCTAATTATTTCTGTCTGATTTCCCACAAATTGGAAGATATGCAAGCGAAAAGCAACAACTTGGCAGAAGAAGCATCAAAGATAGGACTTCAGGTAAACATAGAGAAAACAGAGGTGATGAAGATTCTTGGCCAACACCACCAACAGCAACAACAGACAACAATCAGCCAGCATAAATGGAAGGAACCTGAAAGAAACAACCTCTTTCACCTACCTACCTGGGAAGCATCGTTTCAACTACAGGCGGAACTGACGAGGATATCAAAGCAGCGAGGATCGGAAAAGCAAGACAAGCTTTTTCACTACTCTCAAGTCTGTGTGGAGGTCAACAGCACTCAGCATCAAAAATAGGACACGGATTTTCAACTCCAATGTGAAGTCAGTGCTATTATACGGATCAGAGACTCGGCGCCGCGTCATAAAGAGCACCTCAAACGAACTACAGACCTTCATTAACAGTTGTCTTCGCTCAATACTACTCAAGATCAGATGGCTGGCCAGAAAAGATCAGCAACAAGGATCTCTGGCAATGAGCGAACCAACCGAGCAGGCACCGATTATGAAACAAATAGGCAGGAAGAAATGGAGATGGATTGGCTGGCCATACTCTGAGGAGACAATGCATCAAGTGACATCACTAGACAAGCCATTGCTCGAGTGGAACCCGGCGGAAAGGGAAGCGGCGGCGAGTTGGTCGTCAGTGCAAGGGTGACTTGGAGGAGGTCGTGTGAAGAGGAGATGAAAGCGTGTGGGCAGACGTGGAGCCAGGTGAAGACTCTAGCAGAGAATCGAACGCAATGGAGACGCACTGCTGAATCCCTATGTTCCTCTAGGAATTAAAGGAAACAATACTAATTATTTCTGGTTGGCCGTCTGATCTTCAGTATGGAGCCAGCGAAGTGAGCAGTAGTTGTTGATAAGTGTCTGGAGTGGGCTGTTTGAAATGTTTTCTACGACGTGCCAAGTCTCTGTGAACTATATGACATAACCGGTGAAAATCAGAATCTTGTTCTTCATGCTGATTGCAGTAGATTTTCACGATGATTTTAGAGTTAATGGGTGTCTGTTTTGCTTCTCTATTCCTGGTTTCGACATCCTCATCCGCGGTGTCCTCTGTAGCTGAAACGATGCTGCTTAAATGTTTGCAGGAGGTGACCTCGTTCAAATTTCTTCCACTGATTGTGATTGGTGCTTGTTGTTGGGTTGGTCATCACCTCTGTCAATCACATTTGTGCTGGTAATGTTAGTTCGTGGGAAAGTGCTGGATTCAGATCGAACTCTGTCTTAGTTTGTCATTCTCCTGAAGTGCTAAACTTTGGGACGTTCTTAATGACTTTTCGAAACTTCTCGGAATGATTTCAATATTTTGAAAGTCAATCTTCTGGCCTAATACAATACCGCCGATTTCTATTGAGTAGTCCAATAGAAGCTTCTTCTGTTCTTGATATTGGGAGATGGTTGCCTGACGGCATACCGAGTCGCAGTCGGTGAATTTCATTTTTGTCGACACAAGTAGGTTGTGAGTCCTTTAGAATTTCGCTTTTCACATGGACAGGATTCCTTTGTATTGTGTGTGTATGATGTTTTATCTGTTGAATTTTTTTTATTCCTTCACGTTCGCAGTGGAACATAGGGCTTCAAGCTAGAGGCTTGAAGTTTCTGTAGCAGTGTTTATTTTACAGGATGGGGTTGGTAGCCTCATGCCCAACCTTTCCTCTTCACCAGCTTTAGTTCTGGCTTAGCGAGGTAAAGGAGTGCATCGGTGGCCGGGGATCGAACCCCGGACCATTTGCATGGTCGGCGAGCGTCCTAACCACTATGCCACCGACGCTTATCTGTTGAATACCCCTTGGATATGATCTCATATATTTCATCTGTATGGGATCACAACTGTTATGGTTCATGTTTTCAGAGTACCTTTCTTTGTTTTTGGAGTAAAATTCTTTGGATAGTTTTTCCTCTTCGTTGCCTTCTTCATTTGTTCTTAAATGAAAAGAAACAGCTGATACTTTTGAGCTGAGGATGGGACACGAGGATTTAAATTCTTAATATTTGTTTGAGTATGTTGTCTTCCTAAAAACGAACATTTCTTATTCAGTTGACTGACTGATTGGATTCAACGTAGAACTTTGCACAGATGTGCAGCAGTTTGAGTTGCCACTCTCCCTCCATGTAGCACACAAAGCAAGAGAAGAGAGAGATTCAAAAGAAAGATAATAAACAGAAATATGATGGAGAAAGAATAGCAATGTGGAAGAACAATAGAATTTTATTGGATATTATAAATCACAAGGAGTGGATGCATCTGCGCCAGCCATTGAGAACTATTTTCAGCCACATCACCGATTGTCTGCAGCCATTGGTTTTTACCACCCCAACCAGTCTACACCTCTATATGTAGCTGGCTTAAACTAACTGTTGTGGATTTCACTGAATGATGAACCGATGCTTTGGTTTGGCCACCACTGGCTTTCTCTTTCCCAACCTGACCCTATGTCAGTCAGCTAACATTGCGCGTTGTCGAGAAAGGCGATGGCTAGGCATGCGTAACATGTGTCCATCTCAGTCAATGTAGCTTCACATCCCCTCCTTACCTAGCATTCGACGCCTCACCACAACATTACTCACTTTGTTATATCGCTTATCACGGGAGACAGGACGCAGGCATCTATGATCAAAGGCAGCTAGTCTTTCCAGTTGACTTCAGATTTCATCTATAATTCGAATCGTAATTTTTAAGTGGCATTGTTAATTACCTCTTTTCACACAAATATATACATGTACGTTTGATTCCCCACTGACCTTGCCTAGTCGGTAGGTAAGCCCGGTGTAAAGTGGGAAGATTCGACATGCGAATTAGCAACCCCACCCTTTTAAAAAACGGCATCTACACTACTGAAACTTCAAAGCCAAAGCCTGAAGTCCTGTTTTTCATTTGGAAAGCAAAAGAATGAAAAAACAACACGTTCTTACGTAGGTTTTCTGTGAAGTTTACGTTTTACTAATAGTACAAAATTGTTTATCAACCACTGAACTGTATTTCATCATCATCATTCAGTCTTCAGTAAGAATATAAACAATCATGCGTATTGGAGGGATGTCTTCCAGTAAAGAGTAGAATACTGTCTATGTCTTTGTGGTATGTTTAAAACAGCAAATTAGCATTGATTTGTCATCATTAGTCATATTATGATTGTCTAAAAACAAAAAACAACACAAAATTCGGATTTTCAATACAAACGTCAAGTCAGTCAGTTCTTCTATACGGATCAGAAACTTAGCCAGCGGGTCACCAAGAATAATTCCAACAGCCTGTTGCAGACCTTTATCAACAGCTGTCTTCGCTCTATACTGAAGGTCAGATGGCCAGAAAGAATCACCAACAAGTAACTATGGGAACAAACAAAACAAGAACCAATCGCCCAACAAATATGCAGGAGAAAGTGGAGATGGATTGGACACTCGCTGAGGAGGCCGCTGGGTGACATCTCGCGTCAGGCCAACGCTCGAGTGGAACCTTAAAGGGAAACGGCGAGTTGGACGTCCAAGGGTGACATGGAGGAGATCGTGTGAAGAGGAGTTGAAACAGTATGGACTAACATGGATGCAGGTGAAAAGTACAGCAGAAGACAGAAGCAAGTGGAGGCGTGCAGTTGAAGCCCTTTGTTCCACTAGGAACCTAAGGGAACAATAATGATAATAAAAACAAAAAGTTTGTAAATTATAGACATCAAAAGATGCGCCACGAAAAATATTTCATGCTTTATTATACAAGGACTGGGATGCTACCCTCCCCCTTCCCCCCGAGTATGATACACAAGGCAGTAGAGCAGTGTCAGCAACTGCGTTCAGTTGGTGAAAATAGGTTCATACGTCATTCATTCCTTTCGGATTCTGGAGTCACATGTTCACCAATGGGTTCGGAATCATGACTTTTCCGTCCGTCCGTCCCCCCCCCACTAGGTAGGCGAGCATGTTCGCCGAACAGTTGTAAGCATCAGATGTTTGCATTCACACTTTGACGCACTTTGTGAGGAACACTGTTGCCTCATAGATGACGTATATGTGATACTAACCGGTGGAAACAGTTTTCTTTCCGTCTGTACTGACAATCATCTTTTTTACTTTCATCTCTTTTGACTAGTTAATAATAATAATAATAATAATAATAATAATAATAATAATAATAAGTATTATCTTTTGTCATCATTTTCCAGGTTGATGTATTTGTCGCCGACTTGGATGGAGGGAGTGTGGCATGTCCTGAGAATATTCCTATACCTCAACTGCCTGATCCTTATTTTACTGAAGTTGTTGAAAATTTATTTCAGGTAATGATTAATAGTTTTATCGCGTGTGTTAATAACTCTGTCTGGGTATATATATATGTGTCACTGGCACTGACTAATTAACGTAAATAGTTTCTTAGTTCACGTGTTGTCCTATGCCTTTCTAGTCATACTGTCACCTTTATCTCCAAGATGGTATCATCGTGTAAGTATATAGCGAATGTAAAGAATGCTAGAAATTTGGTTTATCACAAATGCCCACACAGTGTTGTATTTGTTTTATGAAGATTCTGAGTCATAAAAAAGTATGTTTTTATTATATTATCTATCACCTTAAAGAGTCAGCGGTTAGTCTTTTGATAATTTTATACATCACGGGTAGAAATGTGTTTTTTTATTTACGACTGTATTTGTTCATTTTAATACTTTGTTGTATCAGTTATCGTGTGATTCTCGACCAGAAATTGTAGGGTTGATCAGACCAGAATGTACTATTAAAGCACAAACTGAGTTGTACATTATAGGGGACCGAAAGATAATGCGTCACAAAAGATTTCATAGTTTGCACGACAGCTGGGGGTACTGTCCGAACTTTTAGACGGAAGCGCGTGGTTGTCTTGAGGAGCCACTCCTCTATCCGGTCTCTGAAGCTTTGACTTGAAGTCTGATCCACAAGACAGTGGAGTGGCATCAGGAATTACACTCCCTGTGTTAACGGTGACCAAAGCAGGTTGACTGTGTCATTCAATTCTCTCGGATGCTTTCAGTTCGTGTTCATTGTAGGCGTGGAGTCAGGGTTTTCCATCTGTGTACGTACGTATTAGGAGGATTAAAAATCAACACTTTTCCTGAATGTGGAATAATAATAGGCTAAATGGAATTTAAAACAATTAGTCCCTTTTATAAATTTGGATAGTGTCATTAGAAGACGGAGATTATCTGAAAAATGTGATGTGATGTATTTGCGCTATGTATTTCGAACAATCTGATCAAGTCAATATATATCGAAAAAATTAAGAGCAATTAAATTGAACAAAGTGACTAAGAAAAGGATTTGAGAATGATTAACACAATGTTTGGTAATCCAATCAAATAAGGATTACCAAGGTACGTCAAGAGTAATAAGAAACTGTTTTTGAATACACAGGGGGGAGGAGCTTAAGTTTATGAATAGCTATAGCCTCAGCGTATTTCAATAAGCGCCCTTGACCATTTTCATAGATGACCTTAAAGGCTGAGTTAACATCAATCTTATGGTTCATCTCGATTAGATGTTTGACATCTGCGTCTATTGGTTTTCCACAATTCATTTGTTTTTCTAACCATTTCGGGATATGCTCTCCCACCCTCACATGCAAAGCACGATTACTCCTCCCTAGGTATGTGTATCCCCCCCACAAACACATAAAATTGGTAAATAGTGTGGGGTGTAACATAATCACTTGTTCACTTTTGAGGTTTGGAGCAGTGGAGCATATTTTCGGCTTTTTTTCGATAATTTCAAGCCGGGATGCATAATTAGTTCTACGGATGATCGAATTCAACCTTTGTCTCAAAATCCTACTGCTTATTTCCCCGTTATATGGTAATTTGATGAAGACATTTTTCTTAGGGGTGGTATAGATTGTAGGTTTAAAGACTAATTGGCTTCTACAGCTTTTTAAAAGTTTTAAAGGAAATCCGTTTTCAACAAGAGTATCCATCAATATTTCATTTTCTTTGTCTATAACATCAGCCGTGCAAATACGTTGATTCCTCATAAACAGACATTTCACCAAGCCTCTCTTATACCATAATGGACGGAAACTGTGAAAATTAAGGTATTGCTCTGTCCAAGTGGGCTTTCTGTAGATAGACCGTCTTATTGAGCCATCGTCTCTTCGACTCAGAAGTGTATGTCTAAAAATGCGAGCTGGTTGCGACTTTCTTCCTCGCATGTCAGACTAATATGATTCTGTACAAAGTTAAGTCTATCTAATAGACGACCATCATCTTCATGATCGTCACATATCGAAATGATATCGTCTACGTATCTCCCATAGAAGGGCAATTTAGAAATTAAATCAAGCGAAAAGTTCTCAACATAAGACGAAATGTAAACGTTTGCTATGGGGAGTCCATTAGGACCTGTCAAATGTTAAGATAATGCTGCAAGACTGCTCTGCCAACACTGACTGCTACTCTAAAGAATGGAAGTGAAGTGGTTGATAGAGTTGACCACTTCACTTTTTTTGACGGCTGCATTGTCCCTAACGGACTGATTGTTGACGAAAGCTCAGTACATAAACAAAAGGCTTGTGTGTAATATTTACCAACTTATATCGTCTCTGACATAGACGTGATATTCATGTATTGATTTGACGGCGTGTCTACTGCGCAGCAGTTCTCTTCATGCACCTTTATGACTGTGAGATGTGAAGAGACAGGTTGTTTGTGTTCTGTTTTCGTAGCTAAGTGGTATAATATGGTATATTAAGTGTTAGTTAAACAACGAGAGAGTCAATCGATGAGATTGTGAAGCTTCATCGATTGAGATGGCTTGGACATGTGTCAGGCATGTCAAACCACCATATTCTTTGTCATAGGGACCTATCTGGAAAAGATTCATGTTTGGTAAGATCAAAACCTGACACCTATCCATCAAGTCTTTAACAGTTGGTTTGAGCCACATAGTGAGGTGCAGACTGTCTGGCTAGGGTCCTTGAGACGCTGGGAATGAATGTCTGCAGAATGTTCAATAGATCAAATGCATTCACTCTTGCTTATTTCACAGATCTACGGAATCCTCATTTTTTTCCACTTAAATATCCTTCCTCCCGTGCATCTTTGCCCCTTTTTGTAGTTCTTTTGAGTTTTTGATTTTCTTTTCCCTTCCTGTGTGCTCTATGTGAAGTTTAGCACTTTTGTGCCAAGTCTTATATTGAAGCTTATACAGTTAATCAGTAGTGACCATGCCATTTTCCAAAGAGTACAGTCTTCAAGTAGTTTCCTCATATTATAACTTTTGCATGATTGAAGATTGTCGTTGAATGCCAATTTTAAACCTTGTTTTTCAACAACAAAAAATACACTTTGTAGTGGAGTAGTAAAATTTCAGAGTTGTTGTCCCATTTTTCGGGCATACTTTTCTCTGTGGAGATTGTTAGCTAGTCAGTAGGTTTTCGGCTCAATGCGACAAATACCAACGAGGATGTAAGCTTCAATCACTGCTATATGTGTGAAACTTGGACTATGTGATAGTATGTAATTCCATATTGATTTTCCTATTAGATATATCACACATAGTGTGAAACAGTATTATTATTATTTACTGGATGACAAAGTTTCGAACACAATTCACTGTTCATGATCATATAATCAGTTGTAACTGCACACAACTGCGAAACTTTCGTCATACAATAATTTCCTTTATTCCTTACTATTCGTCGTAGACGTAGTAGAATTTTCCAGATGTTCGGGTTGGTGGACAGGTGTTAAATCATTACCATTGCACGTATTTTCAGTTGATTTGATAAATAAAGCTTCCGTTGCCAGTCTCTCCCTCCACCCTGTTACAATAGATTTTAAAACTGTCATCCTATCCCATCCTATTGTATGGTTGTTTGTGATTCAGTGTAGTGCTATAGCTGAACTATTCACTAGATTTCTTATTTTAGTGTCGGGTCAACTAATCTAGATTTTGCTAGGTTTTTGTGCTTCGCTAGTCTGACTGACTCTGTTCTACTACTCTGACCAATGTATTTGAGCTGATTATGATTGCAGGCGGGATATTCGATTAACTAAATTGTTTTTTTTAAATGGGTGTGCAGGATCCTTTAACCGACAAAGTTTGTTTCTATGGGAGTATGTGGACGGTATGAATGACACTTTTATTCCTGCCTTATTAAGAATTCTCCGTCAGGTTTCCGAGTTCCCTCCCCCCTTGTATGGAAGTAGTATGGAAGTGTGGAGAATAGTTCAGCTATAGTAGCATTACACACAACCATACAATAGAATGATGGGACAGGATGACAGTTCTAAAATCCGATCTAACGGGGTGGAGTGGCCGGAGGGGGGGGGGGAATTGATAACGGAAGCCTCATTTATCGAATCAGTTGAAAATACGTGCAATAGAAATGATTTAACACCTGGACATCTGGAAAATTCTCCTACCCGTACAATGGATAGGAAGGAATAAAGAAAGTCATAAAACAGGGTTTCGAAATTGTGTAGTTACGCAGTTAATGTAATACTGTTCCACAGGGTGTGTGTGTGTGTGATATGTCCAATAAAAAAATTCATATGGAATTCAACCAATGCTACTGACAGTCTCATTTATATGGCACACACACACACACACCATTGATAAACATAATCCTATTTTTATACTGTTAATTTCGGTCATTCATATTTCAGGGCTTTAAATATTATACACTTTGTGAAAGCAGTAGTATCAATCAATCAATCAATCAATCGGTCGATCAATCAATCAAATCAATCAGCCACCTTATACAGCGCTGATATATCCATGTCAATCTAATAAGTCTCTATATATATTTGGTCTATCTTGTATCTAAATACACCAATTAAATTATGAAAAGTGTACACTACTAATGAGTTGCGTTGTGTTGTTTGGTTTGGTTTTTTTCTAAATCTTTTTTTTAAATGTTATGTTGCCTTTTCACACCTATTTACAGATTTTAAGTCCAGAATTAATGTCAGCTGATCATGTATATCCGCCAAATACTACTACTAGTACTAGTACTGGTACTACTACAACTACTGCCTCTAATCAATCGAATGATTTAATAATACAAGATAAAAAATTACGTGCTGTATTCCTTCGTCTATTCGCCTCCTTATTCGCTGGTTATCGTTCGTGTCTGACAATTACACGGATTCATCCACAACCAGTGATCCACTTCAATCGAGTAAGTCCTAATGTGTGTGTGTGTGTGTTGTGTGCATAAATAATAGTGTGTGAAATAATAGTTTAAACTGATTGTGTGATAGTCAATTGATTGCGTCACTTTGTTGTTTTATTGATTGTTTTCAAATTTTTAAATTTTTATTCCTTTACGACCCCAGTGGAACATAGGGCTGCTTCAAACTTAGAGGCTTGAAGTTTCGGTAGCGGTGGTGTTTATTTATTTTTACGGGGTGGAGGTGGGGTTGCAAGCCTCATGCTCAACCTTCCCTCTTTACCAGTCTTATTACTGGCTTAGCGAGGTAAAGGAGAGTGCGTCGGCGGCCGGGGATCGAACCCTAAACCACCTGGCGAGCATTCTGCCTCTGTGACATCGACGCACACTTATGTTTTATGCATTTGGTGTATTGTTTTATTTAGTTTTCTTTTTTCTCAGTTGCCCTAGTTTTATCTCCATTATGCGTCGGGGGCACAGTGGTTAGGACTCTCGCCGACCATGCACATGGTCCGGGGTTCGATACCCTGCCGGCGCACACCCGATATCTATGGTTGGCCTGTAAATTTGGGCCACCGATATCCATGCTGAAAATTCCATACTTATACTGAAAATACGGTGTGGAATCAAGCTGTAATCAAAATAAAATAAATAAATAAAGATTTTGTTTTGATAAATCACACAGTTTGTTATACAATAATATTAACTGATGACGTTTCGAGCACAAATTATTGCCGCTCATAATCATCATATCAAGGCACTAACACAACTTTCTGGCTTCATTTACATATACATGAGCACAAATTGATGATAAGACGTTTGAATAAAATCAATTAATATAAGATGAACTGCATTCAGAAATAATAATATTAGTGTTATCAATCAAATACAGTCAGACGTTTTTTTACAGTAAATCTAAGTAACTTGTTTGAATGTTATAGTGTGAATTGAGTACATTTTAACATTATTTATTATCCTGTGATTTAACTGGTGGTAATAATATCTTCCATATCTCTGTTATTTGCGTTGAGTAATTTCTGTTGCATGTGTTGGGTGTACACTCGATGAACCAGGACTCAGTAATCATTCTCTCTCTCCACCTACCTGTATTACTTGTTAGAGTTTTGACTCTGTCCCATCAGCCCTATTGTGTGGTTGTGTGTTAATGCATGTAGTGCAATTGCTGAGCTTTTTTCTAAGTCACTTATCTTCATGGGGTCAATCACTCTAACGTTAGCGGAATACTTATGTTCTGATAATCTCACTGACACTGATCTACTGGTTTGACCTATGTAGTTGACTTAACCTCACAGTCATTGCAAGGTATTTTGTAAATTATATTATTTTGTTTAATTGGGTCAACTGGGTCCTTTAGCCTACAAAGCTTTTCGTACCTGAGTGAGTTTGTAGGTTTAAATGCCATTCTATTTCCTGCTTTATCAAGAATCCTACGCGTAGGGTCTCAGATGTCCCTTCCTTATATGGCAAAACTGTAGACGCCTTATAATCTTTCTTATTTTCCTAATGAATTTTACAGGATAGTTATTTAACACAACGGAATTATACTCTACTACAGTGCACAAGTTCTATTCTGACATCCTTGATATGATTACTCCTGACTCTTTTCCAGTGTTATCTTGTCACAACTAACATTGCTCGATGAGGTAGGCTGTAGTTTGGTATAAGCACCACGTACCGCAACCATTTCAATCGACGTAGCTTCACAATCTCATCGATTGCCTTTCTCTCCTTACTTAACAACACTCTACACTCAACCTCAATATTATTCACCATAATATTGTACAAATTAACGCAGGAGATAGATTGTAAACACCTATTATTCAAAGACAACTGAGCTCTATAGGTCTCCCACCTTCAACAGCTGTCTTCTTACAACCTTAAAGAAATACACAACAAATACACAACGTCGTTTGATCGACAGCCGGATATTACGTCTATGCGCGAGATGACGTAAGTTGGCAATGGTCACCCGAACTGCTCGTCAGCAATCAGTCTGTTATGGTTGGTGCAGGTACGCCAATAAGTGAAATCGTCAATATTATCATTATTAAATTATTGTTTCCTTTAATTCCTAGAGGAACATAGGGCTTCAGCCGTGCGTCTCCATTGAGTTCGGTTCTCTGCTAGAGTCCTCACCTGGCTCCATGTCTGGCCACACGTTTTCATCTCCTCTTCACATGACCTCCTCCAAGTCACCCTTGCACTGACGACCAACTCGCCACTTCCCTTTCGGTTCCACTCGAGCGATGGCTTGTCTAGTGATGTCACTTGATGGTTTGTTTTCTCAGAGTATGGCCAATCCATCTCCATTTCTTCCTGCCTATTTGTTTCACAATCGGTTCCTGCTGGGTTGGTTCGCTCCCAGAGATCCCTCCCTGTTGCTGATCTTTTCTGGCCGGCCATCTGATCTTGAGTGGTATTGAGCGAAGACAACTGTTATTGAAGGTCTGTAGTTTGTTTGAGATGCTCTTTATGACGCGCAGTGCAAGTCTCTGATCCGTATAGTGAGTAGGACTGACTTCACATTGGAGTTGAAAATCCGGATCTTATTTTTGATGCTGAGTGCTGTTGACCTCCACACAGACTTGAGAGTAGTGAAAGCTTGCCTTGCTTTCCCGATCCTCGCCGCTTTGATATCCTCGTCAGTTCCGCCTGTAGTTGAAACGATGCTTCCCAGGCGGGTAGGTAAAAGAGGTTGTTTCTTTCCGGTTCCTTCCATTTATGCTTATTGTTGCCCGTTGTTGTTGTTGCTGTTGGTGGTGTTGCCCAGGAGTCTTCATCACCTACCTCTTTTTTCTCTATGTTCACCTGAAGTCCTATCTTTGATGCTTCTTCTGCCAACTTGTTGCTCTTCGCTTGCATATCTTCCAGTTTGTGGGAAAAAGCAGTCAATTGTATATGCAAACGAATTGCACTAGGATTGTTTATTTATTTGTTTGTTTCTCCCTGTTTTAACTAAATCTAGCCTACATAACTGAAATGATTGTGATGATGATGATAATGATAATGATCTCACTGGATTGTCTGACACTGATGTATTGATCTTAGATCATGTTATAATCACGCTTTTAATCAAGCTTATTTCATCAAATGGTTTGATTCTATGCCAATCAAAGCGTTTTTTTTATGTCTATGGGTGTGTAAATCACTTTGATGTTGGTAATTCGAGAATAGTAACCACCTATGCATACACACATACTACATTCATACATTTATAAGTGCTTTCATGTTATATTGCTTTAGTTTTATTTAAGAATGTTGCATACAGAAGATAAATAGAAATAATTAGTTGAAAGCTAAATTTGAATGTATCTGTTCACTTTAACGCACAAATTAGTTTTAACTAGACCCCTAAAAATATTATTCTTTTTAATTCAATTTGATCTTTTCCGTTGATTGATTGCATCGGAGAGTTCGGCCTCTGTTGAGATGTAGTGGACCAAGTGGTCTAGTTGATGACGCTTTGGCATTTAAAACGATGGTTACTAGGTTCTCGGGTCTCTGTGAGAAACACCATCACTCAGTCACTGGGGAATGTAGGAATCTCAAATTGGACGAAATGCGCATCCTGGTGGATTCCACGGCTAATTTACCATCCACCAGATTAGACTCCTAAACCTTGCTTAGCTCTGGTAGTTATAGGCACGGTAGAGAGGGAAGGTTGGGCATAAGGCTAGGAACCCCACTCCGTGAGAAACAAACACCATCGGTACTGCAACTCTAAAGCTAAATCTTGAAACCCCATGTTCCAATGCGGAACGAATTTGGGTTAAAAGAGACTTATGTATGTATTGAAATATAAAAATACAAAGAGCTATACTGTTTGCAGAGATTGTTCCCTGATGTTTTTCACGTTTGCGATAAAAATTACACTGGAAGCATGTATGAAAGTAAAGTGTGTAAGATTGAATTCCTGGGGTGGGGAGACTGCGGCTCATTGGTCTAGACGCCCTACTTCCAGCTTATTGGATCGCGGGATTGTACTCTGCTGCACGCACCAAGATTTAGACATCTAGGTAGTATTACTGGCTCTGTCACAATAGATGTGGCCCATTGCCAACTGCCATGAGATTGTAAGTGATTGCTGAATAACACTTCATATTTCTAATGCCTTATCTCGAAATAAAGAGTTTCTTCACGAAGACAATGATTTCTATGCTGTAGTGTGGTGAGAGCTGGCTGCTAGCCAAAGTTGGTAGACAGTAATTGACGTCAGTGTTTATGTCCCCAATATTGGTCGTGAGAAAATGAGAACAAAGACTTTGCGTAGGCGGATACAGTTAGCATATGGATGATCTGACACAGCCACAAAGAGATGCAAGGTTAACTTCCTGTGAGAAACAATCAATCAAGAGATTGTATTTTCTACTAACAATAATCTACAATAATGTACATTAAAATCTATAAATGTGTTGATTTTCCTTAATAAACGATCTGTTGCCAGGCCCTTGTCTTCTGTTGTTACAGTAGTATGCTATATCAAATCACCTTTCAAGAGAACACAAAGTTCACATTTTCATCGTGAGATGTCTTCATCCTTACTTTTTTTGTCTCTCTTCACCATCTTCCATTATCGTTGGTATATGGGTTTTCTGCCTTTCACCTTCTTTGTCTTTCTCTAAAAAATCATCACTGTCGAATTAGTCCGATTTAGGACCAATTTTGCTTCTTTGAAATCAAGCTATTAGCATTATGCTGACGTTTTCAACCTCTGGAGCTTGTACTGAATCGGAAATTGGGTTCCATGGGAACAGTTGCATTGGCATTCCAGGCTACAAATTTATACATGACATGAACTTAAAAGTTTAAGATGGAGTCACTTTGAAAATTCATCCTACAAATGATGGTGGCAGTTCTTGTCGACCTATTAGTTAGAGAACCATTGAAGACCAAGGATTACTGGATAGTTGTTTCGTCCTAGTTTTGTTCTCTACCGCAGTATACATTCGCCGGACTTCGAACCTAGTACTGCCTGTCTACAAGTCAGT